CCTGCTCTGTTGGGCTTTGAAAAGGTGTTGTGGAACCGTTTTGTTTCAAGATACTTTTTTTTTTGCAGCTTGGTTGTCAAACTGTTTATGAATCTATACCAAGCTATTGATGGGGGGGGGGATCTTAATTTTTGGCAAACAATTGTAGATAGTGGCATTCTTTCTTATGACTTTTTTTTGGGGGGTTAAGATTTTAATATGAACTAGTTTAGTGTCTTGGACTCCTTTTGAGAGGAAAGGCAGGATGTGGTTATATTTATGGAAAAACACTGTCCTGAGAATTAGCTTCTGACCTCAACACTGCATTTTATCACATTAGAATAAACTTCCTTCCCCCAAGTGAAAAAAGCAAATTCCATAATGTTATATATGGATGTCACAGATAAGAGAAGGAATATGAAGCATTAAAAAAACACTAAAACATTATCCATGGAATTGATCAACATTATACTCCACATAAACCATTGCCTGCCTCACAGCAAATGTCACAAAAACTGGCTCTTTATATTTTAGGCCAGAAATTACAGATCTAAGTAGGCATGTGAACTAGGAGATATTGTTTGGACTAACAGCCTTGAAAAAACATCCACAAAAGTTATCTCTAACAGATTAATTTTACCTGAAAGCTGTATTTATATAACAGAAGCCAGTTTCCTGTCATCAGATTTATACTTTTGCCCTTCAAATGCTTTGCCCTTTTGAAGTCTGCAAATGGGCCAGGTAAATTTGGGTCACAGCAAATAATGGGAGCAGGGTGAGTCTATGGGGACCTGATCTTATAATTTTTTATGCTGTTGTTAAATAAGAGCTGCGGTGGCTCAAGTGGTTAAGACGCTGAACTGCAGGCTGTGAAAGGTCAGTAGTTCAGCAGTTCAAGACCCGAGTTGCCGCATGACGGAGTGAGCTCCCGTCTCTAGTTCCAGCTCCTGCCAACCTAGCAGTTCGAAAGCAAGAAATTGCAAGTAGATAAATAGGGAAGGTAACAGCATTCCGTGTGCCTTGGTGTTTAGTCATGCCGGCCACATGACCACGGAAACGTCTTCGGACAGCGCTGGCTCTTCAGCTTTGAAACGGAGATGAGGACTGCAACCCTAGAGTCGGACTCGACTGGCTTTCGAGCAAGGGAACCTTTACCTTTTTAAATAAGACAAGACATAAGCTGTACTTAATTAGTACCCTGTCTCAGGAAAGGGCCCAGGGTCACTCCAGCCTAAGGGGCAGCACCTCCTAGGGTCTCTGAGCAAACTAGGAAATCCTTCTAGTGGTAACAGAATCCCTACCCAGGCACCAAACCTTTGGGATAACATTCACAGACAAGCAAATGCAGCAAAAAGTATTCCTTTGCTTTGATGGATGAGGGAAAACCTTTGGGGCAAACCTTTCATAGGTGCAAAGGACACATCCCATTCCCTCTGCAAACCCTGCGGTCCCAGGAGTTGATGCCATGATTTTCTCGATCGCAACCCCTTGCTGTTGAACAAGCACACCAGTTGAACAAACATCAGCCAAAAATACCAGATTTCCCAATACATTCCAAAGCCAAAGTAGCCACTATGTTAAGAGAATGAGGTATGACCTGGGAGGCCACAAGCAGGTGGCCATTAGCAAGCCAGTTTTTTAGCCCCCTGCCTTAAAATATGAGGAAAATAATCCTGGCCTAAATTACAGGTTGATTTTAAGAACTCTTGAGGTAATGGCTACATTCAGACATCCTGACAGATTTGTTTGTAATTATAATGAATATGGTTGTTGCGGTGTTCACATTTTTCTTCTCCACCCACAAGTGAGGTTTTTGGGTTTGAATCCCCTCTCTGCCATGCAGCCTTGCTGAGTGGCCTTGGGTCAGTCATGCACTCTCTCACAGGGTTGTTGTGAGGATAAATTGGAGGAGCCTTTATAGGTTCCCATTGGGGAGGCGGTAGGGTATAAATGAAGCCAGTAAATAAATACCAAATGAAACTCCAGTTCACTGTCATGTTCCTCCCACCTTGGATTCTAAATCCCAGTGGGAGTCTATGCTGCCCCCTCAACTCACAGTGATCTCTTCAGCCTTTCCAGACGTACGTTTAACCCCCAAGAGGACCATATCGTGCACAAATCTGCAAGCACAAGACAGGAAAACATCAGATTCATGTGACAGGAAGAGGAGGAACCACAACTATGACTCTGCTCATGTCGAGGCCAGGACCATGGGCAGTGGACTGAGAGAGCAAGGAGCAGGAAACACAAGCCAAGGGCCAGAAGGTGCACTGCAGTGAGAAGCTAACCATGAAGTGACCTCTCAGTGTCTGTGTCAGGAGAGGCAGAAAGGCTTGCTCTCTGTGCATGCCTGTTAAGTGGGTCCTTCCAAGCAGTAACAAAAAAAATGACTGTTCAATGGGCTAGTCCATCACCCAAACCCTGGGCCAAATGTCACTGTTCTAAACCAAGTTTCAGAACCTTGGTTTATGGCAGAGGGAAAACAAACTCCCGTTCACCCAGGCACCGTTTTAGAAACAAGGATTGTGCAGCAACATGTCTGTTGTTATTGTGATGTCTTAACACAGCCACACAGCCAATATTGTTATTGGCATCATGCTGCAGTGACCCACAGAAAGCTCAAAATACAAGAGGTTTTGAGGTCTTTGCTTCTTTTCACCTAGCTAAGATTGGGACTGCAACAATCCCCAACAGTCCTGCTTTAGCTAAGGGGATTTAGCTGAATAAGGTTGGGATCAGGCCCTAATCGTTGAGATGGTAGCGAGAATGTGAGCAGCAAAGACATTAATATTGAATATCTGAACTCTCTTTTCATGCTTTACAGCGATCAGATCACCATTGTGCACAAACAGCAGATTCAAAGTACTGCCAGTGGTTTATTTAAATACACACACACAACACACTGTCATCTTCTCAAGAACTGCTCAGCCTGTCAACTATGGAAGTAAGACAGGTGGTAATCAGAGACAGGACTTTTCAGTGGTGGCACCCTATCTCTAGAAGGCTCTTCTCATGAATGTTTCATGTGCTCTCTTGATAAAGAGGATTTTAATTGCTTGGACTTCTAGGGTCCCCACCACCACAACCATTTAACTATCTACACTTTGTGTGGAGCTATAGTTTTACTCAACAAGTTTGGCTAATGGATTATTACTGGTTTTGGTTGGTTTCTTACACTGGCTTTATTGTTGCTGTTGTAAATGGTGGATTTTTTTGTATGTGTTTTTAATTTGTTGCAAGCTGAAGCACACATACACATTATATATATAGTGTGTGCTTCAGCTTGCAACAAACAGAAAACAAATTGATATGAAGAGGACATATATATATGTCAGGAAGAGGACCTGAAGGAGCAATGGCCGGGCTGCCGAAGTCTGGCATTTGTCTGGACCAGCAAAGAGCCCACACCCCAACACCATTTTTGATTTGCGCAAAGTACCCAAAATAGGTCAGAAGCAGTATGAGAGAATTCTCGGTTCACAATAGTCTGCCTCTTCCATGAAGGCTTTGCAAATAATGGAACTGGGCCTGCAGCTTGCATTACTGAATTGGGATGAGAGAATTAGGATGGGTGAGAGATGTTCAAACAAAAGTTCTATGGAACCTTCAAGACTTACAAAATTCATTTCAGCATAACCTTCTGTGAGTCAGAGATTGCTTCTGTTTAACTTCAGTGACTTCTGACATCTTATCCCAGAATACATTTTGTAAGACTTTAAGGTGCTACTGGACTACTGTTTAATTTTACACCACCTCCCTATTGAGTGGACAAACATTCAAAAACGACAATCTGTTGGGCAAGAACTAGGAGAACAGTACATTCCTCATTGCTGTAAAATATTGTTTGCATAGACATGCCTGCCACAGATCTCTTGCACATTGCCAAAGAAACTGGGACATGTATTGCAGTGCACATTCAGGTGTGGAACTGGCCAGACTATCTCCCTCTGAGCGTACCCTAAACCACACCCACACACCTCACTGCGTTGGCACATTTCAGGAAAAGATTGGCATACTCCAGGAGAAGATAGGAAGGGGCAGGCTTTCAGGAACGTTTCTCTGCTACTACTAATATTCTCTTTGAGGAGCCCTTAATAGGGTTATGGAGAATGGAAAGCAGAAGATGCATTTCCTTTACATTGATCCTTTTTTTAAAAAAAGCAAAGTCTGAAGCAATATGTCTTAAACAACACCACACTAAATAAAAGCAGGCCATAGTGCAGACAAGGCCGAAGGTTCTGCAGTAGTTTTGGCAATATCAACTTGACCATCGATATCACAATAAGGGTCACTGACAGAAAAACAAACAAGGTCACAAAACATTCCAGCTAGAATCTGTCTTCCCGAAAACAAACGGTGAGGTCTCATCCTATTAGTATTTAGGATTCCTTTTTTACACTGCTAGTCCATAGAGCTCACAGCAACTGCCCATTTCGTCCCCCATAACAACCCTGGTGGGCAAGTTCAGCAGAAAGACAGCTACTGCCCCAAAGTTACCCTCTGAGTTTCATCCATAAATGGGGGTTTGAATTCAGGTCTCTACAGTCTACACCCTGAACATACTGCCCCCCACTGAGCTTACTGGAGTTTACTCTCTAGTAGGTGGGCAAAGGACAGCATCCTTAGAAGACGCATCTCTGAGCCAGGTGCCACCCATTTAGAAGCAGTCTTAAAGCCTCACATTTCTAAAGAGTGTTGGGGGTGGGGGGAGATGGAGAAAGTACAGCCAACAAACCCAAGGAAGGAAACATGTGTTTTAAAAAAAACATAACACCCACACAGTCTGTGCAATGCTCATCCCTAACGAACTGCATTTATACCACCTATTCCGGGGGGGGGGGGATTCTTCAACAAGCTAGGCTACTGTTTAAGCATTAAGAGATTCACAGAAAGTCATCTGAGAAACATAACATTTTAATAGATGAAATAAATACTCCAGTACATGCAAGGTTGTTTAAAAAAAACCCTGATGCTGAAAAAACCCTCCTCAAATTGTTTTCATGTTATAGTGTAATCCCCCCCCTTTAAAAACACTCACAGTAGCTTTCCCGCCCCCCAATTTGGAGATTACAACCATCCTCCACACAACACAGCAAATGCACTTCTAACCTAACATTTGATTCAAAAGGGATCATACAAAAAACAACTGAACAACAAAAAGTAGCTACATCCATCCTTGAAAGTTTTGCATCTTTCAGACTGTATGAAAACTGAGGTAACTTTTTTTTCTTCCTGCACAACTGAACAGTAAAATTTAGAAGAGAAACTCTGGAAGACACACACAAAAAAAGGAAAATGAGACCCTCCCCAAACTTTTTAAACCGCACCCAGCGCGATTAATGCTTCTCTTTTTTAAAAAGACTCTCCCACCTCATAAAACTTTTAACTTGTTGTAGGTGTTTAAGTAAATAATAAGAAAAGTTTACTTTTAAAAAAAGACCTCCCACCCCAAAATATCAGCCAAAGTTGATTATTTCCACACAGATTAAATGGCGTAGCTTTGTTGCCCCACCATGTCAAAGGAATTAAAATTTTGAGAAATCAAAGGTTTGGGCTCACACAAATTCTTTGGTATCTACAAAACCATTGCTGGGAGAGGAGACCTGGGTATATTTTCATTAGTAGTGACCGTTGTATGCAAATTGAAAAATATTAATTCACAGAATTGCTGTTCACTGGCGGCAAAGTCCTCGGGGAAGATCTTTCTCTTAGTGCCTGAGACAACAGGTTGCAACCATCAGAGACTGCGCAGGCAGAGTTCTTCAACCTTTCCCTGTATTCAGTCATTTTGGAGCTACTGTCGGGGTGTTGGGCTATATCCCTGAGGCATTGGGTGAGAAGGACGCAAGCCGAAACAACACTCATAGCACCCCCCAAAATGGCAGTCTGCACGACTTTGCCTTCTGGATTGATGGTGGCCGCTTTGCCCAAAAACTGGGGCTCAGTGGCAAAGCCCACCAGAGCATAGACAGACTGCACCAAGGGCCCACTGAACAAGATGCACCGATTCCGCGTCAGCTCGCTGGGTGAAGTCTTCACCTCCCGGACGCAAGCCAAGAGGGCTGAGGCACTGGTGCTCATGCACTTGACACTCAGCTTGAACTGCTCCTTGGCAAACTTGTCCTTGGATCTCTCACTGGCCAGCACGCAGGCATCTGTCAGGAATTTCAAGTTCTTGGACATGTTCTGGGACACCTCCAGCAGCAGCTGAGGGCTCATGTCAGCCAGCGGGGTGCTTTTCAAGACCCCACAGCCGTGTTCCACCTCATGCTTACACTTGGTGACCTTGTAGCGATCCACCAAGCCAGGCAAGGCGGGCTGTGCCCCCGGGGTCTCCACTGCTGCCAAGTAAGCAGCATGGGCAGAGCATTCGGTCAAGGAGACCACCAAATCCCCCATCTCTGCCAGAATGTCCCCCACCTCGGTGAACCGCCCCATATTCAGCTGGCTCTGGATATCATGAGTCAAGATGGACAGGCCCTTTGTCCGAGCGATGATAGTGTCCCGGCACTTCTCAAAGGACTCCCCAGAGGCTGACAGGCTCTCAGTGTTGACAGGCCGGCTCTCACTGGACAGCAGGAGCAAATCCGCCACCAGTTGCATTTTGATCTTGCAATGATCGCAGATGGAGACGAGCTTCTTCCTCTGCAACGCACCGCTGCTCAGGGTGGATGCCTCGCTGATGGCCTTGCCAGAGCCGCCACTAGCCATAGCGCCTGGGGGGCACTCGCATGCCTCTTGGGACCCCGCTGCTGCTGCTGCTGTTGCCACCCAAGGAGTCCCTGCGGAGCCAGGCAGGATCTCTCTGCCTTTTCCGCACCATCATTCCATTAATCTCCACTGGTAAAAATGAAGTCTTTAGGTGTCGGAGGGAAGAGAAGGGAGGCAGAAGAAAGGCAGCCAAAATCCAGACAGAGCTCAGTTTGCACCTGATGCTACTCCACTTTCACAGTGAAAACAATGCTAGCTACACTTCAGTATAATCCAGGCAGAGTTGCTTGCTGACGGGAGCAAAGACTTTCTGATTCTTCAACAGCTCGATTTACCTTGCTGGATTCTTTTTTAAAACCTGTTTTGCGGAGAGTTGAATGATCCAACCGGCTGTCACTTTCTGCTGTTGCAAAATTTAACAAGGGGGAAAAAAAGAAGAATGTTCCTGTTGGAAAGGGCTACATCCCAGTTTTTCAATGCATGAGAAAGAAAGGGCCAGGGCGGGGCGAAGGGGGACGATCCTGTGACCGTTTTCGTCCTTTCCAATCCAATCTGTCCCCGCGGCCCGGAAAGAGGTGAGCCCGCGCCATAGGCTCCTTTAAAAGCGTCGGAGGAGGCAGGCACGCATCACTCCCCCTCTTCCCTGCTGTTGGGAAGGCCGGCGGAGGGTGTGGCCCGGCTCCGCTTCGACTGGGGAAAGACCGAGGAAAGGGGAGGGCTGCGCTTGGCTTCGGAATGGCCTGAGTGTTTGCACCCAGCTCACCTCGGGAGCAAGAGAGGACACGGCGGTGGGGGGAGGCTATGCATGGGACGAGCGGGAAGCAACGGTTCTCCCCACTCACAATGGAGAAGGGTCCCCCCTCTCTCTCGGCCGCGGCTCGCCTCTTTCCTTTGCCGCCCCCCCTCCCCCGATTACGCAGCCCAAGTGGCCCTGGCAGCTCCTCCGGGGCGCATCTCCCGCGGCTCCCTATCCGGGGCGTGGGCTCATCCGATCGGTGTGCGGGAAACGATGCGTTTCAGAGTCGCCTCGCGCGCAAAGGTGGCGGCTGCGCCCGGCGGCGGCTGCCATTGCGGCAGATGCTCCAAGCGACCGGCCGGCCTCTCTCTCTTCCTGCCATATTCCTCTCCCTCGCTCTCGTTTTTTCCCGGCTGACTCACCAACTTCAGGGGGGCGGAGGAAGGAAAGCAGAGCGCCTTTCTATGCGCTCCCGCCTGGCGTCCCCTTCCTCTCCAGGGATAGCTTTGCTTCCTTCCTTCCACTTTCTATCCAAGTTGCGATGCTTGTTTTAAAAATTTGCAGCATTAAGACTCTTGGGAAGCAGCTGGGGTGGCTCTTCCAGCTCCCTGGCCGGGTTGCTGCATGGCTGGGAAGGCGGGCGCGAAGCCTGCTTGCTGCCCTCCCACCCCGTTTGCTCCTTCCTTCCTTCCTTCCTCCCCCGTTGCCTTTACTGTAACCTCCCTTAAACCTATAGCAAGCTTTTGTGCGCGGCGTCGCCGCCCTTCGTTTTAAATCCGCCCCTCCCCACGCCCCGTGGCTGTCTGAAGGCTCCTCCCCAAACAGCAGGGAGGCAGCGGCTTCGTTGAGGCCACTGCCAGCCCTTGCAGGCCGGCTCTGGTCGCCGATTCTCTGGTGTGCAGCGTGGACAAATCCGCCCTTTGCGCGGTAGCGTCTGGGCCCTTAATCCTGAAGGAAGTCCTGTGGGGTTGAATGGCATTTACTTCCAACTAAGGGCACCTGCATTGGAATACCCTGCACACCTAATACAATTTTAAATATGCAGAAAGGGAGAATTAAACTACTATAAAATGGAATTTTAAATGTATACTTAAAATTAAGTTTGCAGCTTTGCTTTATACATAAATGCACTGGACAAAATTATACACTTAATGTAACATTAAACCACACACAGTTAAAATAATATTTTTGAATATATAAAATTATATGAAGCATACAGTTTGGTCTCATGCTGTTGCTACTCCACTTTCACAGTGAAAAAGATGCTAGCTACACTTCAGTATAATCCAAGCCAAATTGCTTGCTGACAGGAGCAAAGAAGCGTACAGCTCAGTCTATAGGCGTGATTTAGTCTTTCTTTCTTTGGATGCTAAAGAGAACCTTAAAAATACAAGACACTTCATTTTGCTTTTACTTGTTCATCCAGAGGTAAAACAAATGTAAAAGGTACCCCTGGGGCATTGCAACCTGATTCCTCTAGTTGGCCACTTAGGCAAGAACATATTTATTTATTTTTAAAAAATCATCCCCATCCCACCTTTGATTCATGGAAGCTGCCCTGATTTGAAAAACAAGCAGTACCTGTTTTTTAAAAACTACCAAAACAATCCAGAGTAAAAATAAATCAGATTAAGCTCTGTGAACAATCATAGGGAGAGGCTGTGGCTCAGTGGTAGAACATCTGTTTTGCACACAAAATCCCAGGTTCAATCCCCTGGCATCTTCAGCTATGGAGCCAGTAGAGGGTGATGCAAAAAGCCTCTGCCAGCCAAAAATAGATATCCGGTACCAAACGGTTTTGGCACTAGAATTTCATTGCTTATCTAGTTGCTAAACAATGACAAATGCACCCCTCCATTGTAATACAAAAAACAAGATATTTTGCCATCCCCAAATGTACCTAAAACCTGAGACAACTGCCCTACGGTAGGTCTGGCACTGTCCAATCCTCTTGTCAAAGCTTTCTTTCTGGGGCTTAATTTTGGGGATTTCACTTCTCCCCTTGCTTTGTGTGTTCACTGTGATTTAATCCATGTTAACATTGTTTCCTGAGATCCTCAGTTTGTGCCCTATTGATCTATTTTTAAAAAATAAAATAAAAGCCCACATTTCTCCTGGCCATATCAAGATTCACAGTGTGACCCATGAGATACTTGATCCTGTTCTTGGTGTCTTGCCCAGGGAGTGAAAGAGAAGGTATATGTGGCATATGTGGCTGGACTTTTGCATTTGACTCAGTGAAGTTAGATGGGACTGACTTGACTTTCAACCAAATTGTTCTATTGACATGCCGGTAGTGGTTGGCCACCTGTCAATGAATGGCATGGGACAAATGCAATGATTCTGTTCAGACTGCTGTAGTGACCAATGTTCCCTCTAAGCTGTGGAGCCTTGTGAGCAAAAATTCTTCCTTGTGAGCGACCAGCATGAAAGTTGTGAGCGAGCGGTTTGGCTGCTGCATCAATTAGTTTACTCTGGAGCCATCCTTCCTGAGCTGAGACAAAAATGTGTGAGCCAGAGGCTAAAAAACTGTGAGCTAGCTAACACTAACTCAGCTTAGAGGGAACACTGGTAGTGACCCATGAGATACTTGATCCTGTTCTTGGTGTCTTGCCCAGGGAGTGAAAGAGAAGGTATATGTGGCATATGTGGCTGGACTTTTGCATTTGACTCAGTGAAGTTAGATGGGACTGACTTGACTTTCAACCAAATTGTTCTATTCAGGGCTTGACCATGCCAGTCCTGGAGCCTATGTTTTTAGACCAAGCAGAGACTGGTCATTTGGAAACTCAGCAGAAAAGGAGGAAGGCGGCTGGCTTACCTTGGGCACCCCATGTTTGAGGGTGCTAAAAGGACAGGGGACTTTCTCAGTGAGGGCCTTACGGTTATCAGTCTGAGCCCTCAGAGTCTTGGTCTCTTCACAACTGTATATGAAACTACTCTCTTGGAAAGCTAAAATGGAGACCATTTGACTCAGCCTGAAAAGTTGCACTTTCGTTTTCCTCCACTGATTGGTACAAGATGGCTGATCAAGCTAGAAGGCAGGCTTCCCCAGACAGAGCTAGTCCTCTGAGTGAACTCAGTTTCCCCAGGTTGTCTGTCTCACTGGCCAGTCAAGATGCAGTTCAGACAGATTTGGATCCTAGGGAACAAGAAAAGACTGAACTGATGGACTGGTTTAGGTTTGAAATGAGGAAGGGTTTTAAGGATATGGTAGACACCCTTCAGGGAGCAGGTTCCTCTAAAACTTGGCCAGGTAAAACCAGATCCCTTAAGAGGTAAAAAAATCCTTTACTACCTAAGGTTTTGCGAACCCTGGATCTTTCATCCAAACCTAAAGTGGTAGAGGAACCGGAATCTGAGTTTCAATCAGGTGCAGGTAATTTAATACCTAAAGTCTCCAAGGTACAGTCAGGGCTCCCTCTTCCAGCTTCCTTTTTTAATATTATAAAGGCTGAATGGGAGCAGCTGGCAAAACCTAAAGCCAGTCACCAGTTGGTCTCAAAATTTTATACATTAATGCCTGAAGCAACTAAGAGACTGAGGCTGCTGCCACACGGCAGGAAAAGTGACGGGGGAAGTGCGGCTAATTCTGAGCCATGAGTGAAGTTAGATGGGACTGACTTGACTTTCAACCAAATTGTTCTATTGACATGCCTGTAGTGGTTGGCCACCTGTGAATGAATGGCATGGGACAAATGCAATGATTCTGTTCAGACTGCTGTAGTGACCAATGTTCCCTCTAAGCTGTGGAGCCTTGTGAGCAAAAATTCTTCCTTGTGAGCGACCAGCATGAAAGTTGTGAGCGAGCGGTTTGGCTGCTGCATCAATTAGTTTACTCTGGAGCCATCCTTCCTGAGCTGAGACAAAAATGTGTGAGCCAGAGGCTAAAAAACTGTGAGCTAGCTAACACTAACTCAGCTTAGAGGGAACACTGGTAGTGACCCATGAGATACTTGATCCTGTTCTTGGTGTCTTGCCCAGGGAGTGAAAGAGAAGGTATATGTGGCATATGTGGCTGGACTTTTGCATTTGACTCAGTGAAGTTAGATGGGACTGACTTGACACCACCCAGGTAGGTGGTTCTTTTTTGGTGCAGGTTTTGGCCGGGAGGGGCGGATTGGGAACAGGCACAGCACAATTCCCAGATGTTGCTGTGGGATCGTGCCCGTTTGCTGCAGGGAGTATACTCGATATTCTTTTTGGTACCAAAGAGAAATGGGGACACCAGGGCAATTCTGGACCTCAAGAGACTGAACAAACATGTTCGGGACAGGAAATTCTGGATGGAAACCTTGCGTTCCATTTTACCAACCATTCAGAAAGGGGATTTCTAGCTTTTATAGACCTATCCGAGGCTTATCTGCATGTTCCAATTCACTTGGAACATTGGAAGTTTGGACAAATGCAATGATTCTGTTCAGACTGCAGTTTTAAGTAAAACATGATCGCTTCCATGTGAAGGAAAATGTCAGAAACTGGACTATCAAGGTTAGCAGAACTATTAAAAGTTATATCCAATAGATGAGCCTGCAGATTTTGACCAATGTACCCATCAAAAGTCTATTAAAGCAGTTTAATGCACATGCTACCATGATTTGTACCTGAGTACTCCTGTGATGTTTACAAAAACTGGAAGGGGTGGGAAAGGCTGAAGGGAAGGACTCCAGTTCCTCTAGATGGTGATTTTATCACTTTGTTTTTCATGCATAAAATGCATGTTTTTAGACTTCCGTGACAATACAGAAATGGACCACTGGTGCTATGTGTTAGAGTGTAAAACTAGAAAGTTGGTCTTCATCCCTGTGATAATATTCTTTGGAAAAAATATCTTTAGAAAATATCTACTCTGTTTGGAAAAGTACCTAAAATCACGCTGTGCAATACTGGCTTGTGAAATACCACCCCGATTCAGCATGCCAGCTTGGCCAGATTCTTGCTTGTCCATTGGGCACATGTAAAAAAAGCAAACCATGGCTGCGATCACACACACTTAATATTCCACTTTCAATGCACTTTCCAACTGGATTTTTACTGTGTGAACTGACAAAATCCAGTTTGAAAGTGCATTGAAAGTGGATTGTTTACAGTGTGTGATCGCAGCAGAGTGAAAAGGATAGACTCTGCTTTTCAGACATGGGTGGACAATTGAGCAGAGCTTGTTTGTCTGGGCTTCAGCACAATGGCTCCAGCAGATAGTCTCCTCTCAGCAAGACCAGGCATTGTGAGCTCAAAGTGCTGCCATGAGCATTAGTGGGGGCCTTTGTGGGCTGGTGTCAGCTATGCTACCATGGGGGTTGGGGAGTTCATTCTGTGTCTTGTTAATTGTTATTGCATTCCTATCCCTACTGCTATGCCTTTGTTGTAACGCTTATCTCTACAGATGTGCAGGGGGTCATAAAATGTTCGTTCCCCTCTCCCTCAGGGGGGAGGTGTTACAGGCAGTGCATGGCTCCAAACTATCCGAACATTTGGGCTTTGTTAAATCACTGAAGCTGCTCCAACGGCAGTTTTGGTGGCCCCATATGCGCAAGGACTTATCCACGTTTGTTCAGTCGTGCCAAACCTGTGCCATGAGTAAACCCCAGCCGGGAAAACCCCCGGGACTATTGCACCCACTTCTGAACCCGTCAACCCTGGGAAGTCATTTTGATGGATTTTATAACTGACTTACCACCAAGCAAATCTATGACTGTAATTTGGGTGGTTGTGGATCTCTTTTCTAAAGAAGCACACTTCGTCCCGTTCACTTCATTACCTATGGCCAAAGCACTGGCAAAAGCATTTCTCATGCATGTGGTGAGACTATATATGCTTCCCACTAAAGTGATATCCGACAGGGGAACCCAATTCATCTCCCGGTGTTGGGGGAGCTGATGAAACTGATGGGAGTTGAACGTGGCCTCAGTAGCACTTACCATCCAGAGACTGACGGTCAAACGGAAAGAGTTAACCAGACCTTGGAACAATATTTATGTTGTTTTGCCAATTACCAACAAGACAATTGGCATGACTTGTTACCCCTAGCCGAATTCTGTTATAATAATACTTGTCACTCCTCGACAGGAATGTCCCCGTTCAAAGTGTTGTATGGTTATGAAAGTCCACCTGTCCCATTTCTGGAAGAGGATCAGGACATGGGAGCGGGGGATGCGGCTCAATGGTGTAAACATTTGCGGGACTCTTGGCCTCTTTTATGTAAGACGTTGACTGCTGCGAAAGAGGCCTACAAAATGCAGGCTGATAAAAGAAGGGTGGAGGGTTGGGCTCTACAGCCTGGTGACTCTGTGTATGTTTCTACAAAAAATATCAACATGTTGAGGCCTAGTCGGAAGTTGGGATGGAAATACATTGGCCCGTTTAAAGTTAAAAGAATAATCAACGATGTTGCAGTTGACGTGGACTTGCCAAAAAATTTGAGAAAATTGCATTCTGTATTTCAATTCAGCCTCCTGAAGAGAGATATGGGTTCCTGTCCCTGGCGTCCAGTGAAACCGGTGCCTCCTCCTATCATGATTGAGGGCAAGGAGCATTACGAAATATCACGGAGAAACCGGTGCCCCCTCCTATCATGATTGAGGGCGAGGAGCATTACGAAATATCACGGATTCTGGACTCTAAAATGAAGCGGGGGAAATTGCTGTATTTGGTGGAATGGGTGGATTTCGGACCCCAGCACCTCGAACGGGTGGAAGTAGGGGATATTCAAGCCCCTGAACTGTTTCGGCAGTTCCATTTGGAGTTCCCGGACAAACCTGGAGGCCTCCTGGAATGACCGGGAGACCTCCTGGTATGGTCGGGAGAAGCTGATTTTCGAGGGGGCAGTATGTCAGCTATGCTGCCATGGGGGTTGGGGAGTTCATTCTGTGTCTTGTTAATTGTTATTGCATTCCTATCCCTACTGCTATGCCTTTGCTGTAACACTTTTCTCCAGTGGTTCGGATAGTGGGACAGTCCGTACTATTGGGATAAGCTCCGCCCGCCCCTTCCTGCAGGGTCGGCTCCGATCTTTGATCCCTGTGAGGCGGGGCTTATCTTCTGCAGCTTCCCCAGTTCTTGCCGGCCCTGCTTACCAGCAGGACGTGCTCCAGCAGTGCTCGTTTCGAGCGCCTAGGATTTCAGGAAGAAAAAGAAAAAGAGAAGAGAGAAGAGCCGCAGCAGCGGCAAGGAGTTGGGGTGAGCGATCCTGCACCGGGTTGCCCCCGGTTGTTCGGCAGAGCTCTGTTTAAGCCCTTGGCATCCGTCCGCTGGTCTTACCTGACCTACGGGTGGAGGGCCTCCCCCTGCGCTATTCCGGGGGTGCGGAGGAGTCCCGAACCACCGAGAAAGGAAGCTTCACGGTAAGTGAAACAAATCTTCCAATCTCTACAGATGTGCAGAAGGATGTTGTGTTGTTTGGAGGGCTCCTATGTACCGTGAGAGACTCCTGGTTCTCAGCTTTAGCCACCTAACGGTTGCCTGACTTATCCCGCGCACGGGAGGGCCCCTAATTGGCCAATGCCCTGGTGGGGGGGGGTTGCATACGAATACCCTATATCCTATTATGCTCTAGTGGCTGCGGCCATTCCTAACAGTGCCTGTGTTACTGCATCTATAAGGGTAAAGGTTCCCTTGCTTGAAAGCCAGTCGAATCCGACTCTAGGGTTGTGGTGCTCATCTCCGTTTCAAAGCCGAAGAGCCAGTGCTGTCCAAAGATGTTTCCGTGGTCATGTGGCCGGCATGACTAAACACCAAGGCGCATGGAACGCTGTTACCTTCCCACCAAAGTGGTCCCTATTTATCTACTTGCAATTTCTTGCTTTCGAACTGCTAGGTTGGCAAGAGCTGGAACTAGAGACGGGAGCTCACTCCATCATGCGGCACCCAGGTCTCGAACTGCTGAACTACTGACCTCCCACAGCCTGCAGTTCAGCGTCTTAACCACTTGAGCCACCACAGCTCCTACTGCATCTATAGCTTTGCAATAAAAGTATAACCATTCCTGAATGCATGTACTTCGTTGTTAGCTGTGGGTTCTGACAGCTGACCCAATGTGTGGGGTGACAACAGTTTTTTTGGTGGATGTGATTTTTCTTCTTCAGTTTTCCGATGATTAAAATAAGATTATAAAAGCAATTCTAATAATAAAAATTGAAATAAATATAATATTTCTATGTGTAGCCTCATGTGGCGAGATTGTAAATTATCCTATTTAGAAACCTGTTAACAAATTGTGAGGACATTCTGAAGTGTGGCATAGTGGTTTGTATTACTTGGGAGAGATGGGTCCTTTGTGCCCCATTTTTCTCCCCCATGGGACATTACTCTCCTGTCCTACAATTTATCCTCACAACAACCCTGTGGTGTAGGTTAGCCTGAGACAGAGTGACTGGCCCAAGGTCAGTGAGCTTCCACACAAAGCTGGGACTAGTCCAGATCCTAGACCAGCATTCTAACCACTAACTACACCATTCTGGCCACCAAGTTTTTGGCTTTCCCAGCCATACTCCTCCACACACACGAACACCTTGCAGCATGGGTGTTACCAGACTGGATGGAGGAAGGGTACAATGATCAATATACACTAAGAACAGAAGAAGCAGCAGTTTTTACCAGTTCTGTCATGTTTTGTCCCCTAGGTCTTCTGGGTTTGTGGATCCAAGTGGGTCTCGAGGCTGTATTTGGACACAGAAGAGCAAAGGGGGGCGGGGGGAGGCTCTCCAGGCCTCTCTCTGTCAGCCTCCTGCGCAGAATGCGTTGATGAAGAGTTCTGCAAGCCTGACGAAGAGTTCTGCAAGCCTAATTAAGTGGATGGCGGCAGGGCTTTTGTTGTTGGGTTTGCCATGGGACACCTTTCCCCCCTCGGTATTAGTCATATAGTGTAAAGGGCGGGGGGGAGACAGAAAGAGAAATCAAGAGATAACGGACGTGACCGTGTGAACCAGAACCCCCTCCCCCTCCGCCGCGGCGCTTTCCTTCCTCTCAGCCAGGCTGTGTCACGCCCTTTACATCCCTCTCATGAACCCCCATCGCACGCATGCGCAGAGCCTCGCCGACTGTCCTGCTGCTGCTCCTCCTCCTCGCGCCGTGACAAGATGGCGGCGGTCGCCCAACGGTGGTTCCTCTGGCTGGCGCTGCTGTGCGGCCTGGCGGTCGCCCTAGGGGCCGAGGAGCAGAAGGGCATCGCCGCCCCCGCCCCCCAGGCTCGGAAGAAAAAAGACATTCGGGATTACAACGACGCCGACATGGCGCGCCTACTGGAGCAGTGGGAGGTAGTACGGGGGGCGGTGCCAATGAGGGGAGGGGGGAGAGGCGCCGGGGCTCAGGCGGCCGGGGCGGGGGAGGGCTGGAATCGAACCCCCGCCCCCGGAGTCCTCCTCCTCCTCCTCCTCGTCGTCCACAGGTATGGACAGTAAGAAAGAGCAGTAATGTGTCGGAATACACCCCTGAATTAATAAGCACAACTAATGGTCAATAATGATTATGGTCTTCATTACTAATTAATAAAGGTAAAGGTAAAGGTTCCCTTGCTCGAAAGCCAGTCGAATCCGACTCTAGGGTTGCGGTGCTCATCTCCGTTTCAAAGCCGAAGAGCCAGCGCTGTCCGAAGACGTTTCCGTGGTCATGTCTTCAGTTTCATTATCTGGCCTTCCAGGGAACAGTCAGGGTTGATTTCTTTGAGGACTGACTGATTTGTTCTTCTTGCAGTCCAAGGGACTCTCAAGAGTCTTCTCCATCTACTTGCAATTTCTTGCTTCCGAACTGCTAGGCTGGAAGGAGCTGGAACTAGAGACGGGGAGCTCACTCCGTCATGCGGCACAGTCGGGTCTCAAACTGCTGAACTACCGACCTTCCACAGCCTGCAGTGCAGGGTCTTAACTACTTGAGCCACCCCAGCTCAACTAATTAATAGTGAGTGCTTAAAAAACCCAAGACTTTGTAGTTTCATTTTCCTAAACGAGAGGTGGGGTCTTGGTTTCAGCCTCTGTCCCCGGCCTCATTATTCATAGTTAAAAACAATAAATAGTAATGAGCAACAGTAAAGCAGTAAAACACTTCTGGACCCATCATTAATAATAATAGTACTCTTGAGCCATACCTTGAGTCTCAGCAGAAAAGGCAAGCTATAATGTAATCAATAAATAAAAATCAGTAATAGTTACTGGGCAAATTGTTAGGGACTGCAGTCTGTATTGCTGTGTATAGTTTGCTGTAAATTGGATCTTGCTATGTAATCTTGTATCATTTTTGTGCCATATGACAATGGATCCTGTTCCTGTGCCAAATCAGAATACCTGCGTGCCCCAAGGCACCTTGGTGAAACAAACAGAATCTGTAGTCCTGTTAGTACTTAAGCCCAGAGTTATTATTTTTAACGTCTGCCTGCCTAATTCTACGAACATGAAATATGAACTTTGCTGTAGCCAAAGTTACACTCCTGTCATTGCCAGCCAAAATATATGGCAAATGGAAATCATGCCAGCAGCAGGGAAACCTGCTCAATAAAGGCAGTTTAAAATTGGGTCTTATATAAGAGTGCAGATGACAACTAAATAGGAAATGGGATAAAGTTTCAGTTATAGCTCTGCCACAAGGCAAGTCTCTGGGGGCAGCTAATACCCTCACAGTGACCTAACAGTTCTGTGAATGGTAAAGCATTTGTTCTAGCCAGGAAGAATAGTTGTCAAAAAAGTAACACTTTTAAAAAGGTAAAATAATGTGGCCAAAAAAAATGGTTGTATGTATTTTTTATCTTTACTGTAGCTAGGCACCCTTGCAGGAAGTCTCCAGAATTTGTTTCCAGTTGGTGACTGTCTTTAGAATTTCTGTGTTTGTTTTTAAACCAGGAAGATGATGATATCGAAGAAGGTGACCTTCCTGAGCACAAGCGTCCCTCTGCACCAATAGACTTCTCGAAGATTGATCCCAGCAAGCCTGAGAGTGTCTTGAAGATGACCAAGAAAGGAAAGACTCTGATGATGTTTGTCACTGTGTCAGGAGATCCCAGTGAGAAAGAAACGGAGCAGATCACTAATTTATGGCAGGGCAGCCTTTTCAATGCCAACTATGATGTACAAAGGTAAGTGATTTTGTCTGCAGTTGCAGATTGAAATTTTCATTCAATAAAAAATTAGCATTAAAAATTACTGCCTTTGATTGGATGAGTGCCAGATTAGCTATGACAATTTCTGCACTTATTTTCTGCCCCAGGTTCAGTGCTGTTGGGAACTGGGGTTTTCCCCCTGCTTTCCCACAGTGTTGTGGTGCCCTCCAGGGGTTTCCCCAACTTTTCTCAAATTACTCTTCAACCTGTTTTGCTCTAAAGCTTTAAGATCACATTGAAGCCTGGACAGCTGGTGTACGGGTGGGAAGATTAAGATTTTCCTGCCAATGTGGCAGCCATTTTCCCTTCACCCAAGACAGCCGTTTTCTTCCTCATGCTGCAGGGAGGAGCTAATTGGTGCACCCTTGAAATTCTGACCCAGGGCAGTGGGCACAGCCACAAAATGGCTGCTGCAGGAGGCAAAACCAGCCACAAAATGACTGCTGTAGTTTACTTTCAGTCGCATAATGGTGATAGTTGTACAATGATGACAACTGCAGCCAAAACGACGTTTTTAAAAAGCAGCACAGTCAATCAAATCCTCAGTGGGCACCAGGGACCCCTGCATTATACTGTTGTAGCAGTACGTGTAACATGTTTGTGAATTTTCAGATTTCATTTTTTAAAGTAAGTTTCTAGCCTCTTCCCTTGCAGAGATTGAAAGGGGAAAGTATATCATTACAAAGCAAGGGGTTAGAGACTTTTTAAATGAAAAGTGAGAATTAATGGAAACTGTTAGAATGGTATAGCAATATATAATTGTACAGCAATATAATTATATTTTAGTGCCAATTTTTAATAACAATTGCAAAAAAGAGGAGAGAGCTGGGGCAGGGAAACCTGGCATGGGGAAGTTCCATTGCTGCCACACTTTATCTACAGTTGCACTGCACAACCTTCCCCATATGGAACCACCTGTGTCTCATGGGAACTACAGAATGAGTAAAACATAAGCAACCTCACAATATATGTCTGCCAGACCCCCAGCAGCCACTTTTCCACCCGATTACAACCTGGTGCCTCCACCCATCTCCATCACATCTCTGTTCCTGCTCTCAGGACTGAGCTCTTGTCCAAGATTCCTTTCTTGCCTCCTCTAGCTCCTGCACCCTTACAGCAGGATTTTCTGAAGTTGGTAGGCCCCAATGAAGTAATGTGCTGCTCTTCTAGTCAGGAATGCTCCCTTCTGACTTCCCAGGTCTTGCTGCTCTGGCCTTTTATTCCCCTGCCTCCTGACTTGCCCACTCCTTGGCTCTCTTGGCCTGCACTTGAGTATGCCTTTATCCCTGAGGAGGCTAATACTGGCAGTCTTTGGCCCTTTCTGCCCTTTAGGGGCCCTGTACTGCCTTTCCCTCTCTAAAATGACTCTCTTTGGACCATTCCTGGGTGTGTGTCCCCCTTACACCCGGGTTGCTCTGGGTTATGACCAGTGTTCCCTCTAAGCTGAGTTTGTGTGTGCTAGCTCACAGTTTTTTAGCCTCTGGCTCATACATTTTTGTCTTAGCTCAGGAAAGATGGCTCCAGAGCAAACTGATTTATGCAGTAGCCAAGTCGCTCGCTCACAACTTTAATGCCAGTAGCTCACAAAGTAGAATTTTTGCTCACAGGACTCCACAGCTTAGAGGGAGCATTGGTTATGACAGAGTCCTAATACAATTCTGCTTCAGTCAAAGGTGGGTTGCTAAGGCACAAGGTTTTATTGCCATTGCAATCCAGGGGAGGGGCAATTTCTGTGTCTTCTGATTTTTCTGTTCTTAAGAATAGACTGTAATATTCTCCAGAGCAGGTAATAAAGCCCGTAGTGCAGAAATTGTACTTCATGCAGCACTGAGTTCTGAGACAGACATCAATTGCCTTTTAAAATGCAGGTACAGCACTTAATACTTTGGGCTATTGATCCTGTTTTTGGCTCTGTACTGCATTTCATGTCTTAGTACTTTAAAAGCCTGGCACTAATTGAAAGACTTTTAAAACCTAGGTTTATTGTCGGTTCAAACCGTGCCATCTTTATGCTGCGTGATGGAGGTTATGCATGGGATATCAAAGACTTCCTGATCAATCAAGAGAGGTGTGCAGATGTAACTCTGGAGGGTCAGGTATATCCTGGCAAAGGAGCCCCGGAAAATGAAAAACAGAAAAATAAGACCAAACCAGAAAGATCCAAAAAGAAAAAAGATACAGAGAAGAAATTTGGATCCCTGAAAGACAACAACCGTGCAAGCAAACCAAAAGAAGATCTATGATAATAAGTTAATTGGACTGAGCACCATATGGGGGGTGGGGGCAGAGGAAAGAAGAAAGAAACGAGGCTGTAGAGTGGCCTGTTGGATTTCAAGTGGTCAGTTTACTTATTCATGAGGGTTAATACAGATTGCTGGTGTTAATTTCTGACTGGCTCTGATGCCTAAAAGAGGCACTTGAGCATTCAATTTACTATTATGAACGAGGATGTGGGGGAAGCAAAGAAGTTTTGCTACCAGCTGTTTTGGATGAGCCAGCAATTTGAATGGTTTAAAGTGAATGAATAAGCAGAGGATGACCAAGATTTTTTTCTAAACTTCTGTACTTCCAGGATTTTTATTTAATTAAAATAAATTTGCTTTGAAACTCCTGCTGATATGTGGCTGGACTGGGTTGTCAGAAGTTTGGGAGACAAAAAAAGGGAAGATTTATATAGTCTGATTTGTCTCTTTAAAATGTTAGTGGTTCAATACTGCCCAACTAATGTGGAGATCCCCCTTCCAGCTGGAGTTATGGTTTCACTTCTGTAATGGAGCAGTTCAGGTCCTCTGGCATAATCAATTTGATTGAAATAGCCTGAAATAGGAAAAACTGTGGATGGCCACTAGCCCCCAAATCAAATGCCAGCAAGCTTAGAGGTATTTCAGAATCACTGTAAGCATGAAGGAGGTTGTGAGCATGAAGGAGATTATTTGTATGAGGGCATGTTTTGCTTTTCTCCTGAATGTTAACTGAGAAAGTCACAGCCCTGGGTTAAAAGTTGATGGTCACAGTATTGCTGTTCTTGGGTGCCAAAATCTGCCATAGATAGTTGCAGTGCCTTCGTTTGAGGCATCATTCTTTTATGTGTGTGTTTTATGTGCAGACATTTGACTTTCACTTTGAATGCTTGTTCCAGAATGTCAATAAATTTGTACACTTTTTTTCAGAACAAAGAGGTTGGTTTTTGATCTATGAAGTCCATCCCCTTCTCTGTCTTGTTATAGTTTCTGTTTTCAGCTCATATCGACCACTAGGTGGCAACCTTTATATATCAAACACATCAATGGCCTTTCCCTTTATTTTCTGATCAACACAGAGTGAGTCTGTCCTTTTTAGAGGAAGTGTGGCTTACTTTTAATTATGATGTGTCTTAAAAAATTGTTGTTTTACAAGTGGAGACCCACAAGAAACTTGTGGCATCATCCATCCCATTTCTCTACCTTTGCTTAGTCCCCTCTCTCACTGCCCGTCTCTCTTTCTCCCTCTCCTTCTCTTGCATTATGTCTCGTTCTTATTTATGTCTTTCTCTCACTTTCTCTTCTCTATCGTTCCTACTGTTAGTCTTCTCTTTTTCTCTCCATCACCCCTGTAACTATCTCCCCACCCCCAATTACTGTCTTTCTCTAGCTGGGCAGGGAGAACCTGTGGCCAGCCAGCTGCGCTGAGGAAAGTCACATGCAGGCCTGTGATACTTGCGGAGGGGATTCCCTCTCCCTACTTTTTCACAGGCCTCCACCCAGCACGACTCCCAGGCTGCCCGCAAGCAGTGGCATGCCCAGCAAGGCTCCCAGGATGCATCCTCAGCAGACCCAGCACAACCCCCAGCCTGCCACACCACCGATGCCAGGCCAATTACAGCTCCCAGGCTGCTGCGGTGTTGATGCTGGGGCCAGCACAGCTCCTGGCCTGCGGTGCTACTACTGGACTCAGTGCGGCTCAGGTCCAGCATGGCCATTGTGCAGTGAATGCTTTTTTATTAGGGGGCAATTTAAACCTTCCTTTTTTTGTTGTTTTTTTGTCCCCCCAGAAGGGATTTTTTATTGCATTTTTTAAATAAACTACAAACTACAATGAAAAATTGGGAAGGGGTAACTACATCAGGAGCTGCGGTGGCTCAAGTGGTTAAGACGCTGAACTGGAGGCTGTGGAAGGACGGTAGTTCAGCAGTTCAAGACCCGAGTTGCCGCATGACGGAGTGAGCTCCCGTCTCTAGTTTCAGCTCCTGCCAACCTAGCAGTTTGAAAGCAAGAAATTTCAAGTAGATAAATAGGTACCACTTCGGTGGGAAGGTAACAGCGTTGGTGTTTAATCATGCCGGCCACATGACCACGGAAATGTCTTCGGACAGCGCTGGCTCTTCGGCTTTGAAACGGAGATGAGCACCGCAACCCTAGAGTCGGACTCGACTGGCTTTCGAGCAAGGGAAACCTTTACCTTTACCTTAACTACATCTAGGGAGAAAGGAAAGAAAACCACAACTAACTAAAACCCCAAGAATAGGAGATCATCACAACAACTTGTATAAATGTTAATCTTAAATTGCCAATGTTACTTTGTTTTTTTATATAGTTTATTTAGCTATTTTCCATAACAAAAAAATAACACAAAAGTATATTCATTTACATCATATTTTGGAGTTTCCTTTACACATTTTTTTCAACCATCTATCTACTTTCTGCCATCTTTTTAAACACGTTTTTATCTTTTCCCAACAATATCATATTTACTTTGTCCATTTCTTTTATTTCCATAATTTTTATAGTTAATTTTTTTCTACTTTGTATTTTATCTGATTTCCAACATTTAGCTATAAGAATTCTGGCAATGGTAAGAATATATAGTATCAAACGTAAATCATTATGCTTTATCCCTTCTGGTAACATGTTCAACAGGTATATTTCTGGGTCCAAAGAGAGATCTATTTCAACTATCTCCACGATTAATTGCTTTATGGTTTTCCAAAATTTAGCCAGCTTCTCGCACCTCCACCATATATGGTAGTATGAACCAATATTTCTTTTACATCTCCAGCAATTCCCTGACACATTTTTATAACATTTTGCTACTTTGTCTGGTGTCCAATGCCACCTGTAGAACATTTTAAAAATGTTTTCTTTATAAGATGTAGCTCTTAATAATTTTGCTGAACTCCACATTTTAGACCATTTCTCTAAACATGTTAGATCCCAGATCCTTCATTCACGTCCTCATGCATGGTTTTAATATTTCCGCTTGCATCTCATTTAATAAGAAGTTATATACTTTTTGTATCATTTTGTCTGCAGATGACAACCAAATTTTGTCTAACTCTGATTTTGTTTTTGCAAAGTTTCTTATTTTATCTTTGGCAAATCTTGATTTTAGTTGTATTTTCTCCCAATGTGTAAGATTGATGTTTAATGCTTGTAGTGTTTCAAAGGATTCCAATTCATTTTATTTTGTTAATAATATTTCATAGCTAACTTTTTTATCGTCAGTCATTACATTTGGCATTATGAAGGCCTCTAACGGGGATACCCACCTGGGTATTTTATCGTAAAACTTTTCTTTTAGATTTCTCCATACTTTTATTAGTCTCTTATTTATTTATTTATTTATTTATTTATTTATTTATACATTCGATTTATATACTGCTCCAACCCCGAAGGGTCTCTGAGCGGTTTACACAAATTCCAATTTTCCTATCTAAGGCCACATTGCTCAGGGGACGGGGCTGTCTACCGCCACCCAGGTGGCAGGGCTTGCTGTTCTCGGCTCCTTCTTCAGGGATGGCCAGGATCACATCCTCCAAAGTCTGCTGTAGTTGCTGGATATTTCTATCAGCTGCTTCTACACGCTCCGTCAGTCCCTCGTCCGGGGACACCCGGCCGCTCCGGGCCTTCGATCGCTCCGTTACCCACGGTGGAGCGACCAGCTCGAATTGGGCTCCCAACGGAGGTAGCCCCGGCGCCGCTGCCAGCCTTCTGTCATAGAGACTTTCTCTCAAGGGACCTCCCAAGTGCGAGTAGGTCTCTCTCGTTCACTCAGGGTTGAACTGGCTCCAGCTAGTGCTGGATCGGCTGCTGTGCTCAGATCGGTACCTCAGACCCTGGGGAGTCAGGAGCAGGTGGGCCGAGGGGTATTTCGGAACGGCCCCCCGCCACTGCTACGGATACCGGTGGTTGAGTAGTCACCGACACTGAGGCCGTGGTCACCGGAGGGGTCTTCTTCGATGTCCTCCTCTGGCTCTTCCTCCTCATCAGGGTTCAGCGGTAAAGGTTTCCCCTCTCCGTTGCTCATATTGATTTGGATAGATGCGCTGAGGTAGGGAATGAAAGGATGTCAGGACCCGCAGCGACAAAGAAGTACACACTTTCAGGAAGGTTTTACTTTATTTGAAGCTGTAGGTGCATGGACAGGAACACTGTTAGGAATGACAGGTTAACTATGCGCATAAACAGTTATAGTACATTCATATGAGCACCACCCAATTACTATGGTTCCCGCGCGCGCCATTAGGCTTGGGAACTAACTGCTACCCCAAGCAAAACAGGTACGAGCTTCCCACGGCTCTGCCTGCCTAAAGCCAAAGCAATGATCTAAGCGACTCCTCCAGCGGCCTTGAGAGATACGTGGTGCAGTATGCAGTATAACGGCAATTAAGCCACAGGGAAAGGAATGCGCATCTGCAAAGGAAAAGCAACACTTTGGCAGCCTGCTGACAAACACCCATCTGTCCATGACTGACTGCTGCCACTGGGTCGCGAAGAGTTGGAGACGTCCCCCAATCCCTGTCGGGTTCTGCTTCTTGGCATAGTCACGCTGAGGTCCCCTTGGCCCCTTTGGTGTTCTGTCCAGGCTTACCAGAAAAGGGTTGATGTCTTTTACGGTGCCACTTGCCTTTGAAGGATCTGTTGAAGGACTGTCTGTCGGTACGTCTGAAGTCACAAAAAGGCTGAAAACGTTTCTTCATTTTATCATCATCCTTCTTAGAAGGCAAAACCCGTTTTTAATCTTTTCCTTCAATCAAAAATCTCTCTAAACCGGCACCAAAGAGACTTTCACCTTTAAAAGGCACAGCAGCAACCTTCACCCTGGCCAAAAGAGCTGTGTCCCACGTACGAAGCCACGTATTCCTTCGTGCCGCTACGCTACTGGCCATTGCCCTTGCTGCCAACTGAAAAGCATCCAGAGAAGCATCAGCTGCAAAGGCTGACACCAAGGCTATTTACTTTAATTCGTCTGTTAGACTCTTGGGTATTCCACTATCCGCCTTTGAAAGGCTGGAGGCCCACGTATAGGCCGCCCTAGTGAACAGTGACCCTGTAGCTGAAGCCCTAAGAGAATGGGCAGAGGCTTCAAAGTCCCTCCTTAATGCTTTTTCTACTCTCTTATCACAGTTATCCTTTGGCAAGCCGTCTTCATCCATAGGCAGAATAGAGGTAGAGGATAAGGAGATCATCGACCACAGGTAATTTGATCATTTTGGAGGGGGGGGCACTTTCCAATTCCTTCCATTTTCCTTGGATACCCAGGAAAAAAAAACCCTGACTTCCCCAAGGCACCTTTTTTCTTAATCTCAGACTTCCCAGGTGACCAAACATAGGCTGCAAATTGGCACTTTCAACCCTGCTCCAGCCAAGCCACCTGATTCCCCCCCCTTTCTCTAAAAGGGCAGTTTTCTCCTACTGTGATTCAGAAGCAGGATCAAAGGGAGCTCCGTGGTTCCTGCTCCGTCAGTCCTGCGGTCGACAACACACGGTTCCATGGGTCCACCCGGGATTGCGCCAGTCGAAACCGCGCCACCCGATAGCCTTATCTACCCTCGCCGCTCTCTTCTGGCCCCCCTTGGCGAACCAAGGCAGGAGAGTCCTCCTGGGGCGCCCAGAACGCGGCGCAACACAGGCGAGGGTAGAATCCGGCTGTCGCGACCATCTGGGGGCCTCCCAGAGCTCCCGGCAGCCGCTCTCCGTTTCCCGCACGGAGGATTCGGGAGGTGGTAGGGAGGAAGCTTCCCCCCCAACCCCATTTCTCTCACTCACTTCTTCCATCTTCTCTGACTCTCCTTTCCAACCAGGATTTTTGTGCTCTTCTCCGAAGCACAGCCGAACATCCTGCAAGAAAGGCAGGGCCAGTAAGACTAGTGATCCACAGGAC